CTGGGTTCTGTCTCAAGCACCACATAAACCGGTGGTACACACCTGTAATCTTAGCACTCAGGCAAGAAGAGCAGGAGCTCTCCAGAGTTCAGGTCATCATTGGCTACAGAGTGAGTTTGAAGCCAGCCTCGGCAGCATGAGACTCTGAAAAAAACAAAATCAAACAAACAAAAAAATGGAATCCAAAGGAAGAATGGAAGATTCATACTAAACCAGGGTTATCAGGAGTGGGAGAGGGCTAAGTGAGGGTGATGTGGTGTGAGCATCGCACAGGACAGTGTGTGCGTGTATGAAACTGTCCAAAATGAAGATGTGTACTACACTAGAAAAAGGAAAAGGGAAGCGTGTTCGTCTTATATTTAATAATGACATTTTATTATTATAGTGTGTGAGTGTGGGTGTACATGTGCTGTGGACAACTTTGTGAATTGGTCCTCTTCTTTATGTGGGTTCTGGGATTGAACCTGGGTTTCTAGGCTTATGTAGTGAACACCTGGGACTTTGAGTCATCTCACCAAATCCAGAAAAGTTTTCTTAATACTACCTGTGAATGAGATGAATTTCTCTAGTGAGAGATGACATGCTCAAGTTGGGATACCAAAATTAAAAGAGAAAGTCTTGAGAAATGAGCACTAACAGCAAATATCCTAGACAGCCTTAGAGACTGATAAGGGCTGAAAAGTTGTATGTGGATGAATAGGCAACGTGATTTCAGGATATTCAAACCAAAAGCAAACAAAAACACCACTTCTGTTTGGCCAGGTGTGGTGGCATGCACATACCTTTAATCCCAGCCCTGAGAAGGCAGAGGCAGGTGGATCTCTGTAAGATTGAGGCCAGCCAGATCTACATATACATTCCAAGCCAGCTGGAGCTGTAAGGAGACCCTTTCTCAAACAAAACAGAACAAAACACATATACACTCAGAAAACAATAACAACAACAAAACTCCCAAACACTACACTACTTCCATGGGGGACATTTAAGTTTTTATGTATGTGTGTGGGTGTATAAACGCCATGGCATGCATGTGGAGGTCAGAGGACAACTGTAGGAGTTGCTTTTCTCCTCCCATGTAATAACTTCCATATGTTGCAAAAGAAGCTTCTGTGATGGCAGTATACTTGTCTGTGAATATAAGGATTCATATTTAGCATATGGTAAGAAATTTCATTTGTCTAGAGATATTGCAGAGTTAGGGTTTACTCTGGGATCTATGACCTCTCCAGCCATGTGTATTTGGCTGTTTTTACAATGCCACCCACCAGTTTCCTTCCATTGAGAGGGCTTTAAGTCCAATTAGATAGTTGTTGATTACCCCCATAACAGTGCCACTACTACACCAATAGAGGTTTTCTGTGCCAGTCGTTGTGGTTATTAGGTTTCACAGCTGGGTTGGACCATAGATTGATTTTTCTCTCTTAGCAGCTTACATGGTATCCTCTAGAACCATGAGTGCTAGTCTTTAAGGAGAAAGCTTCCAGGTCAGTTCCAGCCCCATTGCTCCAAGTTCTGTGTCTGAAATATGTCCCATCTTCAGAAATAGGGTCTTACCTTTAAGTTCTAGGAGGTAATCAGGTGCTCTGGTGATAGCTCATGTTATTTTGGGAGTCTCTTGGACTACTCTGACCAACAACTCGAAGGGAGGTTTTTCCTGTTGGGCACTGTGTTCCTTGTTATTATAGCCTTCAGATATACACATGCACTTCTGTTCAGATATATTGTATGTGTATTTTTCAGGAGGTTTTTGAGGTAATACATTTCCCTCTGGCTTTTTATGCCATCTACGCCATTGCTTAGAACTTTTTTTTCCCATCCTTCACCTTAAGGTAGTGCCTATCCTTGAAGGTGAGATGAGTTTCTTGAAGAAACAAAAAGATGGTTTGGTGGGCATGAATTCTTTCAGCCTGTTTGTGTCATGGGAAATTTTCCATTCCCCTTCAACTATGGTAGACAGTTTTGCTGGGTAAAGTATTTGGGGTTGGCAGCCATGGTCGTTTAGAACTGGGAATACTTTGGTCCAGGCTCTTCTGGCTTTCATAATTTGCATCCAAAAGTCAGCTGTAATTCTGATGGTTTTTCCTTTATACATAACTTTTTTTCCTCTAGCAACTTTCAGTACACTCTCTTTGTTCTGAATGCTGTGGGGAGTTTCTGTTCTGGTCTGTCTAATCTGTATGGGTATGTCTTTCCTTAATTTAGGGAAGTTTTCTTCTGTAATCCTGTTGAAGATCTGGTCAATGCCATTGACTTAGGATTCTTCTCCTTCCTGTATGCCTGTGTGTGTTGATTTGGCTTTTTCATGTGTCCCATATTTCCTGTGTATTCTATTTCTGTGTTTGTATAAGTTTTTCATAGTCTTTGCTTAAGGAGTTCAGTTGTTTAAATTTGTTCAGTCTTGATATTCTGTTTTCTGTTTCATTCGCTCTACTTGGGAGGCTTTTCCCTATTGTTTAAAACCGACTTACTGAATTTTTCAATTTCATCTTCATTTTGGTTTGAGTTTCAATATTTCTTTTGGTGCACACCTTTAATCCCAGCACTTGGGAGCCAGAGGCAGGCGGATCTCTGTGAGTTCGTGGCCAGCCTGGTCTCCATAGTGAATCCAGGACAGCTGGGGCTACAGGGAGACCCTGTCTCAAAAAGACCAAAAAAAATTTATTTATTATTATTTTTTATTTTATGTGTATGTATATATTGCTTGCATTTTGGTGAGTGCGCCTGTGCCATGCAATGCCTGCGGAGGACAGAAGAGGCTATTGGATCCCCTGGAACTGGAGTTACGGACAGTTGTTAGTTGCCATGTGGGTGCTAGGATTCGAACCTGGGTCTTCTGCAAGAACAGCCAGTGTTCTTAACCACTGAGCCATCTCTCCAGCCTGAGTTTCAATATTTCTATCCTTTTTGTGAATTCTTTTTTCAAATCCTGAATTGTTTTTGTTATTTTATTTAGCCGCATATTTGTATTTTCTTGAGCTTCCATCATGTTTATGCCTATCATGTTTCAGTTCTTTGAGTTGTTTACCTATGTTTTCTTTAAGTCCTTTGATTATGCTTATGATTGTTCTTTTAAATTCTGTGTCATGGGACTCCTTGGAGAGACTCTCATTGTAGTACACTTCTGTAGGACAGGTAGGTGGGTTTTGCTGGGGGCATGTTCTCTTGGTTTTTCATATTATCTGTGCTTTTTCATTGCCCTTTGAACATATGGATAACTTTTGTTGGTTGTGTGTCTGATAGGAAATTCTGTTCTGCCTTTGTTTAGTTGAAGTTTGGTTCTGTTTATATTGTTGATGTAGCTTGGTTGCTTTTTGCTCAGGTTTGAAAAGTTAGCTGGTGTGTGCTTCAGATTCTTGTAGGGTAGTAGGCTGGTCTGGGTAAAAGGTGGGTCTGTGGTAGGTAGATCTGGAGGGGGACTAAGGGCAAGATGGGAGTGGGTTCAGCCTGTGGAAGGTCTAACAAAGGAGGCTGGAGAATTGACCTATTATGGGTGTAAGAGATCAGGATCCAGTGGGCGGCTCTGGACGAAGGATAGTCCAGAGATCTGAGGTGGAAGAGCTGGAGCCAGCCTGGGCCCGAGGCTAGAATGGGGAGGTGGAGGAAGAAGGGGAGGGAGGATTGGAGGTGCTCAGGCTGTAGGGGAATCAAGATTCAGTGGGCAGACTGACTTACCAGGGTAGTAGGCAGGCCAGTCTGTATCAGACAGATCAGGAGGCCAGAGGAAGGTGTGGGTCGGCACAGCCTGTGGAGGGCCTAACAAACTACTTAGAGGATTAAGCTAGTCTGGGTTAGGAAGCTAGGCCAGAGATGTGACACAGAAGAAGGGAGACTGGAGCAGAGAGTTGTTACTAGTTTATATTACTAAATAGTACTAAGTATAATAAACTATTCCTAAATTTTAAAATGGTTCCTATGGTTACTTAACATTAATATGTTATGTCACAGGAATCTTCACCAACATATTTAAAACTGTTACACTCCATCCTCCCCAACACCCTAGTAGACAGCTAGATAATAGGAACTAAACCTGAGGTTTGAGGAATTCACTAAGAATACTGCTTCACTTTAGAGTAAATCATACCAGGGCGTGGGTTCATTTTATCACCAACAAAAAGAACATGTTATGACTCACTCACCATTTTCTTTTTAGAAAGTTGTTTTATGTTTTTATTTTTATTTTTTCAATGCATATGCATGTTTTACCTGCATGTATATAATAAGTGCACCACATGTGTGCCTGGTACCAATTGAAGCCAAAAGAGGGCATCAGATCCCCTGGAACTGCAGTTACTGAAGGTTGTTAACTGTCATGTGGGTGCTGGGAACCAAACCTGGGTCCTCGGGAAGAGTAACCAGCATTCTTAACTACTAAAGCCATCTCTCCAGCACCGCCTCACTATTTTCTTTAACCATACTTGAAGTTTGGTTTATGTTGTAGAGAACCCTCTAAATTAGTAACAGATTAAAAAAAATTCTCTAAGAAACTCTTGTTTTTTGGGACGCTTGTTCACTTACCAGGCCAAGAACATAATGAAAGTCCTTTAGTAAAAGAGCTGCTATCTATCTTTAAGTAGACTTGTAAATAAATCAAATGGTTTTGCTGAGTCTACTTAGATCTTAGGAGAGGTGATAGTTATACAGAATATCGAAGATGCTAAAACATTTCATATTTCATACATTCAAAAATTCTTTGTTAACGAGATAAAAGTTATTCTTTGAAAGCAACAAAACCATAGACTGTTAGAAATTTGAAACTCCTTAAATCTCAGAACTCTATTAAAATGGCCAACTTGTTTTAAAAGGAAGAACTGCTTAATGAATAGTTAATATTACTGCATTTGTTTTGGTGAGTCTAGCTATACTTGAGCCTGTGTGTCATAACCTGCATTAAAATTGTATGTTTGGTTTTTCAATAGTATTGATGGGGCTATCTCTTGAGTTTTCTGTTAAATATTTTTCATATTTATTCATAGCTGTCATTTACTGTGTTTTGCAACTAGGGCATTTTAGACATGAGTGAAAATAAAATGGAACCAACTTCACTGCAGAGGAAATTTCCTGAATGGATGTCTGTGCAGAATAATAGATATGCTACAAAAGAAAGAAAGGTATGTTATGTTGTTCATTGATGGTTCTTTTCAGTGCAAGGTTTAGTTTGAATTTGACTGTACAATGAATGAGTCACCCCTCGCTTGTCAAATTTCAGGCCATTATTTAGGTAAGAGTTTCTGTTATGTGAATAAACCAGGACCTAGTTGTTGAAGGGTAAGTGGGATTAAATTTTAATTTGGTTTACACAACGAGAATTGCTATTGTGTATTTTCTTTTTCTTTTATATGGGTAACCTTACTGATTTGTTCCATTTCAGATCAAATTTAGATAGTATTAATGCTGGTGAAATTTTTGTTAAAATAGTTTATGTTCTTGTAGATTTAAGATCTAGTAATGAACCATCAGCATTCGAAGGGCATATTATTACTTCTAGAATATTAATGTAATTATCAGGAAAAAACCAGTAAATTAAATGCCTTTATGAAAATAAGTTTGAAAATAGAATGGTATGGGAAAATAATTTAACAGTCTTTACCTTTGTTAAATTGACCTTACGACCTCTTAGTCTGTGATACCAAATAGCACTATGAATATCTTCAGTGGACTTTATTAGTGAACATTTATTATTTACTGTGATATTTATTTACACCTATTTTGAATTTTACTTAATTCAAGGCATGCATTCAGAAGAGTGCTTTAGAAGATGGCCTCCCATTTTTAGAATTCACTGGATCTGTTGTTTACAGTTATGAGGCTAGTGATTGCTCTTTCCTCTCTGAAGATATTAGGTAAGAGATTTGAATTTCATAATGTCATTGAATTTGAACCCTTATAAAATAATTAGATTGGTAAGATTAATAGTAATGTTTATAAGAATGCTTAATTTTACAATTGGGATGTATTTCAGAGATAGTACATTATAACTTTTTTTTAAATACAAAACAAACTCCCTAAATTAAATTAGCAATAAGCCCTTTTGTTCACTAATGTTTCTTTAGATAATTTTGTTTTTACTTTGGATGCTTGGAAATGTAATACATAGGTGGAGCTGCTGAGCACACTGTTTCCCAATTTAGGAAAAATGAAAATATTATTTGACCTCTAGCTGCATCTTTACATCTTCTAAAAATGTGTGCACATTGATACTTGAGTAATGGCCGTGATGCGCTGTTTATGTAGTTAGCACATGGCAATTTCACCAAATGGTCCTTAATAGTTGCCTCTGTCCTAGCTTGTTTTCTGCTGCTCTAAGAAAATTACCATGGACTGAGTAAATTATAAAGAAATAAATTTATTTCTCACAGTTTTGGAGGCTGTGAGGTCTAGGAGAATGGCCTGTCTCCTATCTGAAGACAGTAAGCTTAAGCAATTTGAAGAATTGTAGTTTTGATGCATTGTATGCATTTTTTAAAATTAAAATATTTTATTTATTATTTTTATGTTATGTGTATGAGTGTATTACCTGCATGTATGTGAGTGCACCCGTGTTGTGCAATGCCGCGGAGGTCAGAAGAAGGCTTTGGATTCCCCTGGAACTGGAGTTAAGGATGGTTTGTAGCTGCCATGTGGGTGCTGGGAATTGAACCCAGGTCCTTACTTTGTTTCCCTTTCTTCAGAGAATATGGCCTTGTATTCCTACTGTCTAGCATCTAAGAATGGTTAATTTGGATTGTTTGTATAATTTTCTGTTTTTAGTGGAAGGGTGAGTAAAATTCCATTATGGCCTGAGGAAGTAGTTGAAATCTTTTCTGTTTGAAGTACAGCTTTAACTTAAATTGTGAAATAGGCATATAAACGATAGTAACATACATATTTCTTTTATGTAGTTTTATCAATTTTTTGTTCATTTATACTTAGTTATTATTTATTTATTTATTTATTATTTATATTGTGTGTGCATGCACACTTGCCATGGTTCATTATAAACAACTCTGAAACATTGACTTATAAAAGCACATCTTTTAGCATTTCATAATTTATGTTATACCATTAACAGAGCTTAAATTGACTGGAGAGATGGCTCAGTGGGTAAAGGTGCTTGACACTAAGCTTGATGATCTGAATTTGATCCCTGGAACCCACATGGGAGAAGGAGAGAACTGACTCCTGGAGTTGTCCTTTAACTTCTTCATGGAGGGTCACCCCCCCTACACCCACACACCCACACCCACACGTATACACGCACGCATACATACATGCACACACATACACAAAAAAGTATTAAAAAAAACCAAACAAAAGCTTAAGGGCTGGAGAGATGGCTCAGTGGTTAAGTGTACTGGCTGTTCTTGCAAGAAAAGCTGGGTTTGAATCCCAGCACCCACATAGCAGCTAACAGCTGTCCTGTAACTCCAGTTCCAGGGGATCCAACACCTTCTCTCCTCTGTGTGGATTACATGACATGGGTGCACTTACATACGTGCAAGCAATACACGAATACAAACAAAATAAAAATAATAAAATATTAACAAAAAGAGAACTTAAATCTCCCCTATGAAGTAGTGTGTTTTGATTTGCCTTTGCTGAAATCATCTTGACTATTCGTCCACTACCACATACAGCTTTTTAACTCTTATCATTTTAACTCTTGTTAGCTGCCATGTGGGTGCTGGGATTCAGACCTGGGTGTTCTGAAAGAACAGACAGTGCTCTTCACTGCAAAACCATCCCTCCAGCCTTTAAGTTCTTTTTAAATTTGTGAGTGTATGTAAGTGTGTGTGTGTGTGTGTGTGTGTGTGTGTGTGTGTGCATGCGCACACGCACGTGTATTATCTAGGATTTTTGCTCTTACTGTTCATATCTCTGGCCTTTTCTTTTAATTTTGAATACCCTATCATGAGCATGTTATCTTTCAGTAGAGAAATTAATCTCATTCCCAGGAAGTATTAAGAAAAGTTTTCTGATGCTGGTGAGGCACACTGATTCTGTTTCCTCCTGCCACTAATTGTTTACTCTCTCATTTATGGAAATTTACTTCAAGCTGTCATTCTCTCCCTTTGCCCCCCACCCCCAACCCCACAAATAGGAGCAGTACTGCAGTGAACATTGTTTTCTCTTCCTTCTGTTTTGTTTTGAGACTGACTCTTTCTGTGTACCCATGGGCTGGTGTGGAACCCCTGATCCTCCTGACTCCATCTCCTGAGTGCCAAATTACCATGTCAGCTGCAGTGCATATTCTTACATACATCTGTGTTTGTGTAGCAATGAGTGCCATGTATTTATGACCATAGTGTTTATTAATGTTGCATTTAGATAATATCAACATTTTCCCCCAGAGAATTTTAGTTTTAATGTTTATCATTAACAAGCAGCTCCCACTTCTCACCATTTGATATTATGACCCTTTAAGTTTTGACAGGTATGTGAAAATGTGTAGAGAGGGTATCTCCACAGTAAATTGGGATTTTTCTGCCCTTTGGATATCCTTTCTGGGAATTGACTGTTCCTATTTTTCTCCATTTTTTCTGATGGATCATTTGTCTTTTGTTAATGATTCTTCAAGGACCTTTTAATATTTTCTGGCTATTTACTAATAGTTGTATGTATCATGAATATGTTTTCCAGTCTTTGATTTGTCTTTTAACTTACATTTCATGCAGTTAATCCCCATATTTTTCCTCTGGTAGTAGGCATCTGTCTCAGGGAGATGTGATAGGATTTGACATGGAATGGCCCCCCGTATACACTAAAGGGAAGCTGAGCAGAGTTGCATTGATTCAGTTGTGTGTGTCGGAGAGCAAATGTTACTTGTTTCATATTTCTTCTATGTCAGGTTGGTATCTCTGTTTCATTTTTATATGACTGATAATCATATATCCACTTTATTCCTGTAAATGAAGTTCTTTGATTAGCTGGCCATCTCTTACCATCTTATATTTAAGTATTTGTGTTTTTACCTGATTTACTCCCATCCCTTCCTCTGTATCTTTGTCTTGTGTTAGAAAGGAGAACTGAGGTTTAGAGGTATAAACGACCAGGAATAATAAGTTGTTACTACAGGTAGAGGTGGCATTCAGACTCTTTTTTTTTTTCTAGTTGCTTTGCAGTCAGGACTTTAGGCAATAAAAGAAATAAGGTGAATGTGTTTCTAAATTTAAGCTTAATATAAACATAAGTTTAAAATACACATGGCATGCACAAAAATAGAGCAAATCAACCATACTTAGCAGAATTATGGAAATAATGATTAAATGTTTTAGTATTCCCACAGGGATTAAAAATTTTACTTGAAAATAAAGCAATTAAGAAGGCAGGTGTTGGAATTGAAGGAGATCAGTGGAAACTTCTACGTGACTTTAATATCAAGTTGGAGAGTTTTGTGGAGTTGACAGATGTTGCCAATGAAAAGGTAGAAATATTACTGTTTTAATAAACAAAGTAGCTAATGTGCCTAAATCTGTCTTCACAGAATGCGCTTCTTATCAAAATGTTAGATTTTTTTGAACAAAAAAAGTTAAACTGTATTGATTTTGGTGGCAATACAGAAGTTCAAAGTGAAAGTTCCATCAGGAAAACCTTCTGTTCACATTTACTGTCTCAGCATATGTTTCCCTAAGAAAGCATTCCTCTGCCTTTGCTGCCTGCTCTCACTTACTTCATGTGTTTGCAAACTTAAAAATTGTATTTTGTTTTTAAGACATTTATACCAATACCATTTTTAAATTTTATTTTATGTGGATGAGGTTTTGCCTGCATGCATGTAAGTGCACCCTACATGCATGTAAGTGCCTGCATGCATGTAATTGCCCACAGAGGCTAGAAGAGGGTATCAGATCCCTTGGAACTGGAGTAACAGATGGTTGTTAGCTGCCATGTTGGTGCTGGGAATCAAACCTGGGTCCTCTGCAAGAGAAAACAGTGCTCTTAACCACTGAGCCACCTCTCCAGTCCTCAATACCATTTCTTTAAAGAAGACTACAGTGTAGTTATTGTGATGTAGTCCTCTTATTGTAAGTTTGACCATTAATTTCATCTTTCATATCTCAAATGTTTTGTTAATGAAATAATTAAATTCTTATATTTAACCAGTTTGGCTGGGAAGTTGAAAGCATTTTAACCTATTCAACTTTTTTTCTATGAACAATCCCTTTAAATTCCAAGAGTTTTAATACCTACACTGAAGAAATTTCAGAATTAAATTCTCATTTAGACTATGAATGAGGTCTTAGTGATGGGAGTTTTTGTTCTTGGTTTGGTCATCTGGTGATATTTAGGAATAGCTAACAGTAAAGGAGAAATGTTTGCTATGTTACCTTTTCATTACTTCTAGCTGAACTGTACAGAGACCTGGAGCCTCAATGGTCTGGCTAAACACATCTTAGGAAAACAGCTTCTGAAAGACAAGTCCATTCGCTGTAGCAATTGGAGTAATTTTCCCCTCACTGAGGACCAGAAACTGTATGCAGCTACTGATGCTTATGTATGTATCTAAAGGTCTTTAGGCTGTGGTGTAATTTTTACTCTTACACCAAATTACTTTAGAAAACTTTTATTGTAGTTGCAGCATTAACTAAAATATTGATTTTTAGTTGGCATTAAAATTGTTTAGTAAGATATCAAGTGAAATTCTCCATGTTTATTAGAAAGTGCCATTTATAGATTGTTCAAGGCTAGTTATTTTCATTATCATAAAGCTTTTCCAGTTTCTGTGTAAAAGAAATGTGAACTTGCAGGAATCATGAAAAGCTTGGGCTTAGCAGACACAAATGGTGTTGTTAGTGTATTTTATATATAAGTAATTCTATATTGAAACGTGCTGTTTCTTACATTTATATGCAATATGTGGAAATTTAGAAAAATTTCCTCCAAAGTTAATGCTGCGCTGCTCTTAGATGTATTTTTCTATTTATAAATTTATACGTACTGAAATCTGGGCATATCTTTCTGTATACATTGTCTATGTGTACTTTAAGGAATAGATAGTTGTGATTTTCTTTCTTTCAGTTCATACTTTTATTTATCAATGACCATCTTGTTTCTCATCTTACGTTTATTTTTTAAAATGGATACTCCTTTAACTTGTAACCAGAAAAAGAAAGAGAACTCTTTGTCAGGGAAGTAGAGTGATGCTTTTGTAAACAAAATTTCAGATTCCCACATTTTTTTCTCTTTCCTTCCTCTTCCTCCTTCTCTTCCTCCTCTTCCTCCTCCTCCTTTCTCTCTCTCTCTCTCTCTCTCTCTCTCTCTCTCTCTCTCTCACACACACACACACACACACATTTCTTTTTGGCCTTCCTGCTTTTTTTTTCCTTCCATTCATCCTTCTTTCCTGCCTTCCTGTCTTTCTCTCTCTCTCCCCTTCCCTCTCTCTCTCCAGGGTCTCATATAGTTCAGGCTGATCTTGATTTACTATGTAGCTCAGACTAGTCTTGAACTTCTGATCCTCTTGCCTGTGCCTCCTGAGTATTGAGATTACACGCTGTAGCAACTTTATTCTTGAAAAGTCAATGCGACTTGATCATTTCTGTTAACAATACCTAGTATATACTGTGGTCATAACACTGACCAACATCCTCAACTGGTTTAATGAAATCAGAATCTGTCATCAAAACAAGACTTCTCTCTCTAGATTGTATTCTGTTAGATTCTTATAGACTATTTGATTCAGATACCTGCTATAATAGTGAAGCAACTTTCTTCACCTGGAATGGTAGTTACATGAAAACATGGCTCTTTGTGTAACATAATCAGTTAACTTCAATTTTTGGTGTGTTTCGAGAATCATTCTTGTAGATTTTGCTAGAGATGTGGCATATATAGTTTTATTTATGTTGCTTATCTTTTTTTTTGGTCTTTTTGAGACAGGGTCTCCCTGTAGCCCCAACTGTCCCAGAACCACTATGTAGACCAGGCTGGCCTTGAACTCACAGAGATCTGCCTGCCTCTGCCTCCCGAGTGCTGGGATTAAAGGCGTGCGCCACCATGCTCGGCTTATGTTGCTTATCTTTAACTTGCCCTTTATTTATTTTTTTTCTATAGGCTGGTCTTATGATTTATCAAAGATTAGAAAGTTTGGGAGATGCTGGACAAGTGTTTGCTATAAATAAAGGTATGTTATGACCTAAAAATAAAACATTAAATGTGGGGGCTGGAGAGATGGCTCAGTGGTTAAGAGCACTGACTGCTCTTACAGAGGACCTGGGTTTGATTCCCAGCACCCATATGGTGGGTAATAACTATCTGTAACTCCAGTTCTAGGGGATCTGATGCCCTCTTCTGACTTCTGTAGGCATTGCATGACACAGGTGCATTTACACAAATGCAGGCAATACTCTCATACACATAAAATCAAAATAATAAAACAACAACAAAAAAATGTGAATTTGCTGTTTTATTAGCTTTCCCAAAGTCAATGTATTCTTACAAAATACTGTATTACAACTTCTTAAATGTCTGCACAGTGTTACCACTAAAGTGAAATCAATCAGTATCATAGGTTAGGGTTTTAGATCTCTTCTTTGTGGGAAACAGGACTTAAACTGCTTTGTTTTGTAGCATTAATGTTCTTCAGGAGTTGGCATTTAGTATCTGATAACAACAGCGAACCAAGCAGCTTCCCCTAGGCTGGAAACTATATATTCTTTCTACAAATGTTTAAAATGCTTTATATTTAATGCTTTGAAGTATATCAAATGCTTTATAGTGTTACAGCTTAATTTGAGACAGGGTCTCCCTTTAGACCCAGCTGGTCTAGAATTCACTATCTAGACTAGGTTAGCCTCAATCTCACAGAGACCTGCTTGCCTCTGCCTCCTGAATGCTGGGATTAATGGCCTGTACCACCACGCCTCGCTCAAATGATGATATTCTTTCTGCTAGATTTCTTCATTCAATTTTTGTGTCCTTGTCAGATATTTTGATAAGGTAGTCATTGCAGGAGACAGGCAGTAGGGTGGGTAAGCATTAACTTTTGTGTTACATAGACCATGATGCAATCTCAGTTTTCTGGATGTTTCCCAGGCTTGTAATATGGATAATGGCAAACTATCTCATAGATTAATTTTGAACATTAAAAGGGACAAAATATTTAAGGCACTTGTGTTGTTACCCAGAGAATTATTACATAGGTTGAATATTCCTGTGCATAATCTGAAGTGCTTTGAAATCTGAAACTTTTTGTGTGATGACATGACTTCTGTATTTATTGGTATTTGAAAATATTTCCCAGAGAATTATGCTTAAGAGCTGAAATAAGAGCACGTGTTTGCTCGCCAGAACATAGGGGAAAGGTGTGTGGGCATTGGATACCATTTCAGAGATTGAGAGAGGCTGTGCTATCTATAGGCAACTGAAAGTTATTCAGTATACTAAACCATTGAATATGACAGGGTGATGAAGGGGAAGCAGAAAAAGGAAAGAAGACAGGCTATGTTAACCCTAACTCCTAAGAGCAATTTGAAGCTATTGAGGGTTTTAAACACAGGAATGAAATGTACTATTTTTAAAATAGTTAAGCTGGCCGTGGTGATGTATGCCTTTAATCCCAGCACTCGGGAGGCAGAAGCAGGCAGATCTTTATGAGTTCAAGGCCAGCCTTGTCTTCATAGTGAGTTCCATACCAGCTGGGGCTACTGGAGACCCTGTCTCAAAAAGACCAAAAAAATAAAAAATAAAAAAAATAAAAAAATAAAAAAAAATAAAATAATTAACTAAATAGGCTATGATAATAAACCAAGTGGGAGGAAATAGTAACTCGAATTCATTGTGTTGAGGGTGGACAGAGGTGGACGGCTTCAAAATACCTTTAATGAGGAAGCAGAGTCAATAGAATCTGAGGTAATGATGACAGGCATGTGTCAGGGATCATCCTGTGTTTTGGCTGAAAAACAGGGGTGAAATACATGGGTAAGGGAGAACAAGAATTATTGGTGAAGTTAGGCAGTTGCTTTTAGATAATGTTAAAAGAGAAAAACATCTAAGTAAGAGGGCTGTTGCCTGTGGGCATCTAGATATGTAGGGTGTATCTCAGGGGGCAGTTTGTTGGAGATAAAGCTTTAGGACTGAGTCCTGAGAAACTCTTAGCATCTAGTATTTGTGTGGAGGAGGGGACTCTACAGGAGTTGCTGTAGGTGGGGAAAGGAAATTAGGAAGTATGGCATACAGAAAGCCAAGCAAAGAACATGTTTGAAGAAGGACGAGACTATAGATTGTTTTAAATACTACAGAGATTTTTGAGAAACTGAGGGCCTATAATTAATAATTAGAGTTGGCAGCATACTCATCATTGTAGCCTTCTTTACTACATTTCTAATACTATAGTAGTTATAGTGTTTTGGGTGACAAAGTGTGTGCTTTTGAAACAGAAAAGGGTCCAGAGACCTTGGTAATATGAGGATGATGTAGGTATAGCAAGAATGGAACAGTGGAATGATGTGGGTATAATATATATTTGTCTAGTGATTATTATGTGTCAGGTTTTAGTATAGGGTGCTGAAGAAAATTCACCAAACAAAATGTCCATTTTATTTGATAGAAGCAAGGGAGGAAGCTATTTGTCTCCCTAAAGGAAGAGTTGAGCATGCGTAGTTGAAAGAAAGGATGAAACATCTAAGGGTGACTGCGTGTCTTGATTAAGGAACAGGGACTATAGGTGAAGAGAAATGGGAAGAGTGGTAGGAAACAAGGCTAGAAAATAAGGTGTTTTTAATGTGTATTTTTATTGAGTTTTTGTGCATTTCATACAATCTTAATCAAATTTAGACCCCATCCCTCATCTGCACCCCTCCTGCACCCCATCATATTTCATGCATTCTGTCATATATGTTAAGGCCTATCAGGTCTTGTACCCAGATGTCCCTTGTTGCAGCTTCATCCACTGGAGCCTGGCCAGCCTATTTAGACATACTCTCTTAAAGAGCAATCATCCCTCACCCCACAGTAATCAGTTGCCAGTAGAACCCTTGGCTGTAGTTGGGGGTCTGCCGCCCTTTTCCCCAGTTCTGTGCTGGGTTTTTGTCTGATTAAGTCAGCGTGGGTCTTGTGCATGCTGTCACCATTGTTGCAAGTTCCTAGCAGCCTGAAAACATCTCTTTCCTTATATGCATGCACCAACCCTAGCTTTTACAGTCTTTCTGCAGTAGTCCATGAGCCATGGGTCGTTAAGGTTTAATGTAGGAGTCCTATCAAGGACATGCACTTTGCAGTCTCTTACTCTCTACAAAGTGGCCAGTTGTGGCCTTCTATGTGAATTGCACTCTGTTGCATGAGGAAGCTTCACTAGTGAGAGTTGAGGGAAATATTAGTATTCTCTCTACCCCCTGTTCCTCTACATTCCATGAACCTTAGGTGTAATGGTTCCACTGTCACTTAGGGCTGGCTGGGCATCTCTCAGACATATATTTTCTGTGTATAATCAATTGTGGAACTCTGTAATAGTTTCCATCTATTGCAAAAAGAAGCTTCTTTGATGAGTGGTATATGGTATACTTGTCAGGGTAGTAGGCAGGTCTATGGCAGTCAGATTAGGATGATGGGGGCGGGGGCAGGGTGGAGGTGGAGACAACCTGTGGAGGGTCTAATAAACTAAGCTGGAGAATTGAGCTCGTCTGGGTACGGGGGGTCAGGGCTCAGTTCGTAGGTCTGGGTTAGGAAGCTTGTCCAGAGATAGGGATGAGGTGGGGCAGAAGAGCAGGAGCAGGCCTAGACCCAAGGCTAGAAGGGAGACAGTACAGGGGGAGAGTGGAGCTGCTCAGGGTGCAGGAGAATCTAGATACCTAGAAAAGAAGCTTGGGTCAGATTGTTCAGGGTATTATATGCTGTGAATCGTCATGCTTTATTAATAGAATAAGTATGGTGATGGCTGATAAGAAATCCTTAACTGAGAGGTCATGGAGCAGAAGAATATGATTAAGTTTGTATTTTAAAGTGATTTTTCTGGCTGCTGGAAGAGGGGAAGTGATTCGCAGGGAGTGGAGGCTGTTTTAGTTGTCCAGGCTCTGCTGGATTCTTATTTGAATTATGCTGGTAGGAGTGGTGGGAAACGTGGATGCTGTGGGATTCCAAAAGGCCACACTGTGAAGGGTTTTCAGGTCAGTTCTCTGTGAAGGCAGAGAAATAGAGACTAATAGAATGTTTACGGTGTTTTTGTTGAGTCAAGTGATGAATGAAATTAAAGTTAGTTATAGTGGAAGATTATAAGAATGGGTTTTGGTGAGAAAAGTTCAAATTTCAGTCTTGGATCAGCAAAATTTGAGGTGGTTTAGATATCTAATAAAATATCTTAGTTGGAAATATGATTCCAGAGTTGACAGAGGAGGTTGAGCTTATAGATGCTGCAGATGTGGTAAGACTGCAGATGGCAGTTCAAGCAGTGAGAAGTGGATGTGATAAAATTGGGAGTGAATGAAATAAAGGACAAGAGAGGTGTAGGCATCAAGAGCACACCATCTAGAAGACGAGCGAGCAGCAACGGGGACCGAGAAGGGGCACTGATGAAGGGAGGAAGGAAGGTAAAGAAAAAGTTTTAAGTAGGAGGAAGTCATCAGCTGTTTAAAAACTCCTAGGACTTGAATGAGCAAGGATCTAGGTTTCTCAATTTGGGTTGAAAATGTAACAACTTTTCCCCAAGGCAGCCTTGCTGCTGATAGGGAAAAGCTTAGTTGGAGTTGGTTTAAGAGGAAATGGGAACAGAAAATCTGAGGGATGAAGAGCAGGTTTTAGAGGATTAAAGAAAAAGGAAAAGGTATGAAATAGTCATCTTGAGAGTGGGAAAATGGGAACCATAGAATAGTGTTGACGGTTTATTTGAGATCTATGCCTTGTGAATTTAAAGTGAAATGAATCATTATTATTGTGTTTTATTTTCAAGTACATCCGACTACTTGGGTGTGGGTCTCAATTAGTTAAAGAAGCTAAGTGTAGGTAGAGTAGGATTTTGCTGGGATAAATTCCATGGAGGGGTGTAAAGAGGAAGGAGATGAAGAGTCCACATATCAAAGAAATGAATGCTATAATGTGGATAAGAAGAAGGAAGGAAAGCGTAGTGGGGAAAATGGGTGTATGGTGGGGGGAAGAATGGGCAGGAAAAGTGATAGAGTCAGTGGGTTCAGTTCTGAAGTGTGAAAGCATCGTATTGAAAACATACTGGAAAGAGTGACAGGTATGCATCTATTTAGAGTGTGAACCACTTCTAATTGAAAGTTTACAGTGTAGTGGTGGTTTTATTAGGCACTTTTAAGTTCATGGATATGATTGTGGGAACGAATGGCTCAGGTCAGATGAGGAAAAGATTATTGGAAATGGAGGAGCCCAGGGACAGAAAAGCCAAACTTGGATGGAACATCTCTGTCGGTTTTAAAATCACTAGAAATGATCACAGGAATAGTAGCGGAGGGAATGACAGGTAATGAACCTTGTCTTCAGTGAAAAAAAGGATGTGATTTTGAGGTCACAAGATGGCTAGAAATCTGGAATAGCAGGCTACATGATCTCATGTCATAGGCTTCAGAGGTATCTGCACTGCTTGAAGGAGAGGTGGTGAAGAAGCACAGGGTTTGTGCTGTTGCTGGAAATGTATCTGATGGAATAAAGTTCAGAATTTGGAAGGTGGTTCCTGCCTAGAAAGGCTTGCATTTTATTTTGGTGATGACTGAACTGGGCAGTGAGGAGGGACTGCTGGGTAAGGTTTCTCGACAGCTCACAGGGTGGAATAGTGATTTCTTGATTTCTGATTTAGAAATAGTGTCACGTGGGCTTAAAGTCTCATTTTTCTTCTCATACTGTCTAGGCTTGTTTGATGCACAGATTTGGCGTTTAAAGTTCAAACAGCAGAAATCTGAAAAGGAAGCAAAGTACATGAAGTGATCTGAGGAGTTGATAAAGAGGTGTTTTGCTGGAGTTCATTTAAGGGAAAAGAATGAAAATCCGAGGCCTAATATTATTGTATAAGCTGGCTAAATAAAGTCTCTGCTTCTTAAGTCGAAAAGTAATACTGGTTTCTTTTTTCCAGTAGAGGAATTCCTACCTAGTGAGATGAAGAAACAGCTGAATTCAATCTCTGAAGAAGCGAGGGATCTGGCTAAGCATTTCCCCGATACTTGCAGAAAATTGGAAAATCCTAGGAGGTTAAATGTTATGTTGTATTTTTTAAAAAAGGTTTATTTTATTTTAAATTATGTGTATATGTCTGTGTATGTGTATGTACATAGGAGTACAGGTGCCCACAGAGCCTAGATGCATCAGAGCATTAGATCCCTGTGGAGCTGAAGTTAAGGTGGTTGTGAGCTGTACAGTGTCGGTGCTGGGAACCGATCTCAGGTCCTCTGCAAGAGCAAAATGTGCTCTTAACCACTGAGCCATCTCTCTGGTCCCCCAATTATTAGTTTTTTTTTTTTTTAAGAATAAACTCTTCATTATGGGAGACACATATAAACCTGCTTTAATATATGAACAGAAAACTGATGTATAAACTTGAAAGGATAGTTTTCTAGTTGCTAAATAAATAGCACATCATAAATCGCTTTTCTCTCTGCTTTGTAGGATGTTTTATGAAACAAAGACATATATTTGATATTATATTTATATTGTATTTTTTTTTTGTCAAAGCAAAGTAAGTATCCATTAAGGAAAATAATCAAGATGCAAGATTGTGTTTTTTGCTCATGAGTATATTTAATTTGTAATTTATAAATATTTAATTATAAATAAAAGCAACTTTTAATAGCTTTTTGTTAAGAATCTCAGCTACACTTGATCTTAGCTAGAAGCAATAGGAATTCCAGCTATCTGGTGGATTACTAGAAAAATAGTATTTTAATTTTAGGCTATTATGGCCAAAGTATTAGATAACTTGAGACATTTGGAGCAAATAATCTATACATATTAGCAAGTCTAACAAACTTAGCATCCACTCTAGGTGCTAAAGCTGTTTGGACCTAGACCTTTCTTTGGTCTTAATTGCTGAATGACTTGTTTGTTAAATTTACTCTTTTAAAAGCAGAACTGCTCTTGAACAATGAACAATTCCAATTCAGTAATGTAATTTGGGGGCACAAAAGTACTTTGTAGAAATGTGAAGCAGTTATTTGGAATAGAAAATATTTTGGCTCTAGGAAAAATGCAATGTTAATGTATTCTTTTTTGAATGATATTTGTGATACTTTGAAAAATTTTAAAATGTATAGAATTTTATACCTTTTTCAAAGCCATTTTTCTCTTAGTATTTTGTGTTACTAATTTTTATGTAACTGGCAATTTATAACTTATAGTAATATAATCTTCACATGGGGAAGGTACCAACCAGTGAGGTCATTTCTTGCATATTTTTATGCTCACAATTTTTTGGTGATTTAACTTAATTTTTTCATTTTTTTTGAGATGAGGTTTCCCTGTAGCTGGCCTCATACTTGTTCTGTAGACTGGGCTGACCTTGATCTCACAGAAATCTGCCTGCCCCTACCTCCTGAGTGCTGGAATTAAAGGCATGCACCACCACGCCTGAGTCAGTTTAATCCTTTTAAAAAAATTAAACTTCTTTATTTGTGTGTGTGTGTGTGTGTGTGTGTGTGTGTGTGTATGCATACCACATGGTATAACACACATGTGGAGGTCAGAGGGCAACTCACAGGAGTTGGTTCTGTCCTTCCACCACATGAGACCTTGGGGGTCAGGCTTGGTGGCAAGAACCTTTACTCACTGAGCTGTCTTACCAGCCCTAGAATTTTTTTTTTTAAAGTGGATTTCAGATTATTGTAAAACATCTGCTTGTATAGATTGCATATACCTAATACTTTACTTTATAACATCAAATTAAGCAGTTTTTATTAGAATCAAGAAATCAAGAACTCAAAATAGAGCAGTTTGAGGTTTATTGCAGAAAGGAGAAGTTTTTTGGTTTTTTTTTTGTTTGTTTGTTTGTTTCAGTGGACCCTGAAGATATTAGTATTATTTAGTATTGGTTAGGTTTTTTTTTGTTGTTGTTGTTTTTTGACTTTTTGAGACAGGGTCTCACTGTAGCCCCAGCTGGCCTGGAACTTGGTGTGTAGACCAGGCTGGCCTGGGTCTCTCTGAGATCCGTCTGCATCTCCCTCCAGAGTGCTGGAACTAAAGGTGTGTGCCACTGCACCCAGCTCTTAGTCATTGATTTTTGAATTCAGTATATATCTGTTGCATTGCTACAGTGCACTTGACATTCTGCTGGGTGTTGAGAAATCCTAAGAAAGAAGGGAAGGTGCATGATGTCTTACTGGGGAAGAAGGACAGCCTTTGGTGTTAAGAGTAAATGGTTAAGTTCGACGCTGATGGTAGTACAGAATAAAGAAGCCCTTATAGTGTTAGCTAAGCTGTGTCACAGTTGCTATTGCAGCACATTTATTTCACAATTAAACTATGTCACATAACTATCCTACCACATTGTTCAGACAGAATTGTTGCATATAAGCAGCAGTACAATAGTAAGATTTACAAACTTGCCAGGCATGGTGGTACATGTCTGTAATCTTTGTACTCAGGAAGGTGAGGCGGGAGAATTATAAGTTCTAGGCTAGCCTGGGCTATATACACTGCCTTTAAAAGGAAAGAAATTTGACAGGCGTGGTGGTGCACGCCTTTAATCCCAGCACTTAGGAGGCAGAGGCAGGTGGTTCTCTGTGAGATCGAGGCCAGCCTGGTCTCCATAGTGAATCCAGGAGAGCTGGGGCTACAGGGAGACCCTGTCTCAAAAAGACCAAAAAAAAAAAAAAACAAAAGAAATTTATAAAATTTTATTATGTTAAAATCAATCTGTTTTGGGGTTTTACAAATAATTTTGATCTTGGTTTTGTGTTAATCAACTTTGCCAGTTTAAGGTTGAGCAAAACTTTAGAGAGCTGTTACTAGCATGGTTCTGTCTTGATTTTTGACAATCTCATACATGTCTGCATGTATTGTGCTCATATTCATGCCCATTATACTCTCTTATTTTCTTCCTGCTCACCCTCTTCTTCCCTACTAGTTCCTCTCCTTTCATGCCTTTTTACTGGGGCATGCTACCAGTGGCTATACCACTCAGGAGAATGACTCCTCCTGCCTGTCTGCCACTAACTACCAAGAGCTCCTCAGGGAAGGATAGGGCCTCTGTGTGCCTTCTCCATTCACAATGAAACATTGAAGGACCCAGTACGTTGTAGGTCTTGTGCAGGAAGCCACAGTGACTGTTCGTGATTCTAGTGGCCATGTCATACCCAGAAGTCTGTTTAATAGCATGTCTTCTTCTCCAACTCTTACAGTCTTTCCACTGCTTCTGTCCACCACTTCTTCCATGATGTACTCTGGACCTTGGAAGGAGAGATTAAGATTCAGGGTGGAGCACTCAAACAATCCCTTATTCTCAGCACATTGACTAGTTATGAGTCTCTGTATTAACCATTCCCACTACAAGAAGATGCCTTCTTTAACCAAGACTGAGAGTAGCACTAGTCTATAGGTATAAGACTAAATATTTAGAAGGTAGTATGACTACATGCCCATTTAGCAAAATATCAGTAGTAAATTCCTCTCCTAGAACTTGTGACCTCCTTAGCCAAAAGCTTTTGACTAGACTTACAGTGCCAGTCCTGTGGTCTGGGCTTCAAATCCAAAACAGTCATGTCACTATTGCACCAGGTATACTGTGCTTAGAGGTCTGCATTGTGGTAGGAAGCTGGGTAAAAGCATTGATGACTTTTCTCCTCCAGCAGTCTGCACAGCACCTCTCTTTCAGTCTGACTGCTAGCCAGCAGGGAGGAAGCTTCCAGCTCAGATCTAGCTTGATTTCTCTGTGTTGGGCCAAAGGAATTAGTTGGGAAGAAGGTCAGCAGGAGGAAAAGAGGAGAGGGCAATAGGGGGTCAATACAATCATAGTACATTGTATGCACGCATGGAACTGTCAAAAACCAAAGCTGCTCAGTGCACAGCTCTCTAAAGTTTCTTTCAATCTGTAATAGTGCAGTTTTCAGTGTGAAAATAACTGGAGGAACTCAGCAATTTGATAGTTTATTTTTCATGAAAGAGCAAATTTTCATTTGAATCATTATCATAAAAATTTGCCTGAGATACATGAGATCCTAGACTTTAAAAAGGATTGGTTTTAAATACTGAAAACTTCGAAGACCTAACCAAAGGACTATTTACATAATAAATGTGTTTCTTTGCTTATCAAACTCTTTTTACTCTCTCTAAATTCTTCATTTATTTGTTAACTTTTCTTTTTATAGTACTCAGAATGAGCCTAGGGCCTTGTGCATACCAGGCAAGATCCAGGAGTTCTCATTAAATCCAGGCCTGCTGCTTGGAGTTCTGTAGAGTGACTTTCGGTCAGACTACACCTAAATGTGTGACCTACAGTTCTAGCTTTTGTTTCTTTAAAATGAAGTGATAACTTAATATACTCGAAGTCACCAGAATACAGAGTCCTAAGAATTTTTATGCTTTTTCTAAGTTTTATAG